CTCACTGGGGCATTATGAATTATTCTACCATTGATTCATGCCCCATAGGCCTTTAGCTGCAAGTATCTTTAAGGCATGGGGCATGCTTTCCTCACATTTGGTTTCTCTTCCCTTCCCACAGGTCTAGACCCTTGACTGGTGCAGGATGCACACTTGTTGGAGGGATGATTAAGCCAACAAGGTAAAGCCAAACTGCAGGGAGATTTGTGCTTCACTTAAGGGAACAAACTCTTTAATGGCTGTTGGCTCATTAAGTGTTGAAGTAAATATTGTAGCTAATTAAATACAGCTTTATTTATTCGCTTTCACAAGACCCAGCAGAACATCAATTACCAAATAAAAATTTAATGAATCAAACAGCTTTAAAAATATTCAATGTATCTGCCGCTGGTGCCCACTGACCACCTTTTCCAATTAGTCTGCATTATCATAAAGCTTCGTTTGCCGAGGATCTCTAACCTGTGGGAGTTCTCTCAAATACTGGCTACATCATTCGGGTCTCCAGTTATTCGGATCTCTCACCCACACACCTAAGTGTAATGGGAGGATAGTCAGTCCGCAGGTTGGGGATATGCCTGTCTTAATTTCCCTATTGCTGTGATAAAAACAAACAAAAAACCCCAACCCCCTCCCCCCCAAAAAAAAATCCCCAAACAAACAAACAACAAAAAACCAAAGCCAAAACCTGACAAAAGTAACTTAGGGAGAAAGGATTTATTTGGCTCACCATTCCAGCTATAGTCCATCATGGTGGGGAAAACGCAGTAGGAAGAGATCAGGTCAGTTGGTCACATGACAGCCAGGCTCAAAAGACAGCAACGAGTGTACGCATGCTTACTACTGTGCGGCTCCATTTCTCGATAAAGAAAATATTTATTCTTAATTTGAATTTTGTGTATTTGTGTGTATCGGTATGGAGGTTGTATACCTGTGTCCATGGGCATCAGACTCCCCTTGGAGCTGTCTGAAGTGGGGGCTCAATTGAACTTGGATCCTTAATGAAAGCAAGTAGGGGAAACTTGAGCCAATCTGGAAAACAGGGACCAGACCCTTTAAGAAACGCTGGTTCCTGTTCCTGGGTCTCCAGAGTCCTCAGGAGATTACAACTGTTACAAAGTGGTCCAAAGGGGTAAGAGAACATATCCAAGGGAGGATACTCTGGGCAGGATCAATCAAGGAGGAGAGGGATGCGGGAGGGATGAGGGAGCCTAGAAATAGTCTTACCCAAAGCCCCGCCCCCACAATGGAGGCGGGGTTTCTACCTCTGGGGCTCCTCCCATCCCCGGGATGGGTATTATTTGTCTGTTCTAATAACGTTGATCATTTTATTCTTTTTTTTTTCTCCTGTGTAATTGGTATTTCTCAGTTCTGTGTCAATTTATAACTGTTGCTTTCACGCCTCCGTCAGCTGGGCCCAGGATCTGTAACTGTTGCTTTCTGTCAGAGACCTTCCGCTGAGGGCCTCTGCTTTCACATCCCCTGCCTCAGCTCTCTAGGTGTCACGGTCTCTCAGTGGCCCCTTACTCTCCAAGGATCACTTTACTTTCCTGTTTGAGAAGGTCTAATTTCTAGAACATAAAAATCTTTATTGAGTCCACTGAATGAACGGGGCAGTACCCCTAAATGACCACCCTCACCCAAGATCCCCATAATCCTGCAACAAAAGTACAAGCTCTTAAATGCTGAGCCATATCTGATGTCTCCATTCTCACACAGCCCAGGATTTATTTATTTATTTATGTATGTATGTATGTATGTATGTATGTATGTATTTATGTATTTATTTATGTATGTATGTATGTATGTATTTATTTATTTATTTATTTATTTATTTATTTATTTATTTATTTATTATGTATACAGTGTTCTGTCTACATGCATGCTTGCAGGCCAGAAGAGGGCACCAGATCTCATTGGAGATGGTTGTGAGCCACCATGTGGTTGCTGGGAATTGAACTCAAGACCTCTGGAAGAGCAGCCAGCACTGTTAACTGCTGAGCCATCTCTCCAGCCCCCCAGACCAGGATTTCTTGCATGAGGGATGGCGCCACCCACAATGGGCATGTCTTTCAACTTCAATTAACATAACCGAGACAATGCTCTAATAGGTATGCCGAGAAACCCTTCCCTCGGGTGATTGTAGATTTTGTCAGGTTGACAACACTAACCATCACAATGCCATTGTAAATTTGGTGTCTCATCCTCGACAGTGCCCTCGCCACGGCCCAGCCATGAGATCATATCACATTTTATTCCCAAAGTCTCTCCCTTAGCAACACAGCTCACACAATCTCTTGTCCCCTTTTCCCACTCCACTTGTCCATCCTTTTCTTCTATAGCTGACCAGGGCTTCCTGTTTTGTGGAAAACCATGAAATCAGGAGGCAGATGATCACTTTGCATCCATTTCCCTGCAGATGTGTCAATGCCTCAGCTATGATGTGTCCCCCAAAGCCTGCTCTATTAGAAACATGGTCCTGAACTATAACTCAGATGTGGTCGTGTCCCTAGAAAACAACAGCAAACCTTCATCTAATGGAAGGTTGGTCCCCAATGTGGTTGGTGCTAGAGGGAGGTGGGGAAGCTTCAAGAAGAGGATATACACAATGGAATTCTATTCAGCTATAAGGAAAAAGGAAATTATGAATTTTGCTGGGAAATGGATGGAACCGGAAACATTACATTAAGTGAGTTGATCCCAGGCTCAGAAAGACATTCACCACAGGTGACCTCCTATATGTGAATCCTAGCTTCTAATTTTGATAAATGTGTATTCTTGTGGGAGGCCAGGAAGCTATTAAGGGGCCAATGAGAGGAAAACGAAGAGGCTTAAGGGACGGAGGTGGGGGATGGAGAATAGAATATTTGACATAGAAATATTTAAGTGGAGATGAAGGGCAGGAAGATGACAGGAACAATGGATGGGAGCGTCAACCAAAGCAAAAAAAAAAAAAAAGTCTATGCAGACCTGCAACTTTGTAAGATAAGCCAGGTAGATCTCTGTGAGTTCGAGGCCAGCCTGGTCTACAGAGTGAGATCCAGGACAGGAGCAAAGCTTACACAGAGAAACCCTGTCTCGAAAAACCAAAAATAAGTAAGTAAGTAAATAAATAAAGGAAAAGGGGGAGACAAAGAAGTGGGGGCCTTGTGGCAGGTGCTTAGGAAATAGAGTGCACCACTCTCCGGAGAGAGCTTCATGCAGAAGGTAAATTCACATAAAAGAGCAAGAATGGGTAAAAGTTCTGGCTATTCAAACTTGACCATGAAGACCCACATGGTGGAGAGAGCCAACTCCAGCCACTTATCCTCTGACCTCCACACACATGCTGCTACAGTTCCCCCAACACAACTAAGAAAATAAATAAGTACATAAACCAACAAACAAATGCGACAAAACATTAAATAGACAGTAAGACTAAGGATGGGGAGATGACTCAGCAGGTAAAAACATTTGCCCAGATCCTTGCAGCCCATATCAAAAGCTGAATGCTGTGTCAGACATCTGGAATCCCAGTACTCCAAGATGGGAAGAAGGAACAGGAGAATCATGGAGGAGTGGGGTCTAGCTAGCCTTAAATATGTAATGCAGCAGAAAAATAACAGGAGACCCGGCTCCAACAAGGTGGAAGTTACAAACTGACTCCTGAAAGTTGCCTTCTAACCTCCACATATATGCCACAGCATGTACATTCTCCTCTCTCTCTCTCTCTCTCTCTCTCTCTCTCTCTCTCTCTCTCTCTCTCTCTCTCTCTCTGTGTGTGTGTGTGTGTGTCTGTGTGTGTGTGTGTGTCTGTGTGTGTGTGTGTGTGTCTCTCTCTCTTCCTTCTCACATGTACAATCAACTTTTATTTTTAAAGAATCATTTTATTATACTGGTGTGTCTGTATGTGGGCATGTGCCCATGAGTGCAGGTGTCCACAGAGGCCAGAAGAGGGCATGTATTCCCCAAAAGAAGAGTTTCAGGGGATTATGAGCTGCCCAACATGGGTGGTGGGAACCAAACTTGGATCCTCTGCGAGAGCAGGACATCCTCTTATTCATTAAGATATGTCTATAGCCCTGAATAAGTAAATACTAAAAAGAGCAATGCTGATCCCTTTCTTCTTTTTGGCTTTTCTTGCTACATGGTCTCTCCATCTTGTACAAGTTTTCATCACGATGCCACCTACAATAGTGTGATATGGGGGAGGGGCTGCCTAATTTTGAATTTTGTTCCACCAAAAGCATGAGCTAAATATACCTTTCTTCTTTATAAGAAACAAAACATCAGGTATTATGTTATAGCAGAGAAAAAGGGGTTCCATTGACCTTCTCATAGCAACACTGTGAACTCATATATAGTGCAAAATACATCCAAACTACAGCAAGGACCAAGCTCCCAAGACAGCACTTTACCTTCCTTCTTTACACCCTGCTAGAACATATCTTCCTTGTGAGCTGTAACCCAGCCTCGCTTGTTTCTCTGGAGCTCATTTTTCTTCCTCACACCATCAGTTCTCCCCTTTGCTGGATCTTCCCCATCAGCATACAAATGAGCTGTCATTTTTCTTCCATTTCAAGAACGAAAATAGAAATCTAAACTCATCTTCACCCCATGTCCCTTCCCATCCTGCCTTTTGTCTCACCTTAACAGCTAAATTCACCCCCAAGAACTCATGGCGCTTACTGTCTGAAGAATCTCTTCTCCAGGTCACTCACACATGCGGTTCATCATGACACCCAGAACTCTTAGTCAAGGTCATCAATCAACTCCATGGCGATTTGCAACGGTTCGTTTGTTCTTTAACTTGTCAGTAGGTAGCAATCTATCTCAACTGCCACGTGAATGCTGAGAATCAGAAGGGACGGTACCGACAAGTGAGCCAGGATAACAGGTGTGCACTTGCACTTCCTGAAACTCAGGAAGCTGGTATGGTAATCTGACCTTGGGGAGTTTGGGCACCTGAAACTCCTTCCTTGCACAGAACATCACACTTCTGGGCCTCCTGCTACTCTCTCTTTTTGAGTATGGACCGCTTCATGGATTTGTGTGTCATACTTGCATAGGGGCCATGCTAACCTTCTGTTTGGTTCCAACTTTAGTATATGTGCTGTCACCAGAGTGAGCATGACTGTCTCTTTTGCTGGTGTCTCTATTTATCAGGTAGGTGTATGGAATGCTTCTGTTTCCAATGTCCTCTCACTTGCAGAGCAATCTGCTCCAGCCCCATGGTTGAAGCTCAGGAGCACATGGAAGGTATACCTTTGGCTGGAACCTTTACTCTATAAATTCCAGACTTGTGTTTCTCATTGTCTCCTCAAATTGTCCACTTTGATGTCTGTTATTGTCAATACTGATGGTCAATATTGAGAGATAGACAATATTGATGGCCAATATTGATTATCTTCTTGACAGGATCTAGAATCCCCAAAGAGACACACCATTGGGCGTGTCTATAAGGGATCTTCTAAACTGGAGTTCACTGAGATGGGAAGATCCACCCTGAATTTTGACAGCACCAGTTTCATCTACTAGGGTCTTGAGCTCAATGAAAAGGAGAAAGTGAGTTGAGCATCAGCATTCATTTCTTTCTGCTTCCTGACTGTGGATGCCATGTGACCAGCTGCCTCAGGCTCCTGCTGCCATGCCTTCCCCACTGTGATTGACTGTACCTTCAAACTGTGAGCCCAAATAAACCCTTCCTTCTTTAAGTTGTTTTTATTGCAGCAATTAAAAAAAATGAATGCAGTATCTAATGGGCATTCCATTCCAGTCTTAGCATGCTCTGTGTTGTGGTTTGAATGGGAAATGCTCTCTCAAAGGCTCATGGGTTTGAACATTTGGTGTTGTTTTAGGGGTTGTGCAAGCTTTAGCTTGAGGAAAGAGGTCACTGTGGTTGGGAGAAGACATATAGCCCAGTTCAGCTTCTGGCCCTCTCTCTGTGTCCTGATCCAAATGGATATGAGCAAGCTCTCCTGCTACAGCCACCATGGTGGACTGTATCCCCCAAACCACCTCTTCTGCCGTATGAGGCTTCATGTCAAGTATTTGGTCACAGCAATAAGAAAAGTAACCAATAGAGGCTACATTGGACTTCTAGTTTTTCTTACCAAGTCCAGGCATCTCAGTGAATGCCAAGTCCATCTCCCCAGTTGCTCAGATGCAAATTTTCAATTTTAGCTTAGTTCAGCCATGACTCACCTTTGGTAGACACTCTTATATCCAACATCTGGCCATTTTTCCCTACCTCGTTGCTACTCTGTGTGCTGGACCAATTTCCTCAGAATTGAAACATTCTTTCCTGGAGGGAGGATGGAAGCCCATGGGACTCGGGAAGGGAGCAAATGCCCCAAATCCAGTGAAGCTGGAACAATAGATGATTCCTGAGGGCCATCCCAAGGTTATAGAAGCAGTAAATGACAGCCAGGCAGGAGACTTCAACAAGCCAAGCTGCTGTAGGTCATGCATGAAGCTTCCAGGGATGCAGCTTTCATGAGTGAGGTGGGCTTCTCAGTGATGCAGCTGCCTTGAAGTCATCCCTGCTCCTGTAAGTAACTCTTCACCCACACTCCCATCAGGAACCCCAATAAACTCATTGGTTCATCAAGCTAGACTTTGGCGTCATCGCTGCTTTGGGCTGTTGTGGTTCTAGGGTCAGTTGCTATGTATGTATCATATCTCCTCAGGAAGAGTCTCCTGACACTAGGCTGGTCCAAGTCACCATCAGCTCCCATTTCAACTATTGTCAATGATGTCCTGATGGGTCTCCTGTTTCCTCCCAGGGTCTCTCTTAGTCTACATATCACCTGACAGCTAGAGTGGTCCTGGTAGTCTGTGTCTAGTTACATCATTCTCCTCAGAGCTCTCTAGTGGATTCCCTTCTCTAACAAGAGATGAAGTCCTTCCCCTGAAAGGCATTTCTTCCCCACCTTACACCTCTAACTCATCAGCTTTTCCAATTGGTTAATGCTAATCAATTTGCATTGAGCTTTTAGTTATATCTAGCTTGTGGTCAGTGTACTGTTCTCATCAACTCTATAACTTATTTTTCTACCCTTTGGTGCATTCAGAAGTTGGTTATTTCTGAAAATGATATTAATAGAGAACTTATCCCCTTCCTTAGATTATAAAAATTCACAGGACAAGACTTCTTTTGCTGTGCCTTGGGTGCTTGGTAAGTATTTGCTGAATGGATGCTCTTTACCCTGAGTGTAACATTTTAAGAGCCAACATTTGCTTTTATTTTAATTTTGTCATTAGAGTTATTTAACTTTGTGTGTGTGTGTGTGTGTGTGTGTGTGTGTGTGTGTGTGTGTGTGTATGTGTGTGTGTGTGTGCGTGAATATATGCACCCGTGTGTGTGGGGGAACACCATGTGGTACATGTTGTATAGTGGTCAGAGGATAACTTGTGGGAGTCAATCCTCTCCTTCCACCATGTGGTCCTGGAAACTGAACTCAGGCCCTCGGACTTGGTGGTAGGAGCTTTATCCATTGAGACATCTTGTGGGCCCCGTCGTTCTCAATTTTAAATATTTTCAGAATTTGTTCTCAGCTCTCTCTACATCCTTGCCTTAATTTATTACAAAATGCACTGTTTCCCTGAAACATGAAATGTCACTTTTCTATATTAAATTATGTCACAAAAATTGTGTCATTAGAGACAGTTAATGTCATCCTTTCATTAAGTGTACCAGATTGCTGAGTTTTTATAGTCTGTCTACCAAAAGACTGTTGATCACGAACTCTTCCTTGCTGACGTCTCCAGGCTCCTTACTTGGTTTTTAATAAAAGTAACTGGAGGAGTTTGGAGAGCACTTCTAATCTCCCATAGCGACGGGCAAAGTTTGTAACAACTTTTACTGTGGACACACTCACAATGTGGTCAGGGGTTGCTTGCTATTGTAATTTCATCCTGTTGTGGTGATAAAACACTATGGCCAAAAGCAACTTGAGGCATAAAGGGTTTGTTTGGCTTACACTTTCCGGTCCCAGCCCATCACTGAGCTCAATCAGGGCAGGAACTCAAGACTAGAATCTGGAGGCAGCAACCGTGAAGGAAAGCTGCTTACTGGCTTGCTGTCAGACTTACTCACGTGCTCAGCCACATTTCTCATATAGCCTAAGCCCACCTGCCTAGGGATGGTGCTGCCCACAGTGGGCTGGATCCTCCATGCCAATTAATACTCAAGTCAACACAGTCCTTCACAGTCATATCCACAGGGCAGTCTGATCCAGTCCAGTCCTTAACTGAGGCTCTCCTCTCAGATGACTCTAGGCTTTGTGAAGTTGGCAAGTAAAGCTAACTAGGACACTTGCCTATGGGTATCTCCTTCACGGACACCAGTAGAAATAAAGAGAGTAGTTAGTGGCCCTGCCTAGAGGGTGCATATGAAAATGAAAGGTTAGAAGTCTGGCCTGGGGAGATGGCTCAGTGGAGAACTGAATTTGAATCCCCAGAATCCATGGGAAAAAAAAGTGGGGTGTGGATGGGAGGCCGAGTGAGGAGAACCCTCAGAAGCTCATGTGCCAGCTAGCCTGGTACACATAGCAACAAACGAAAGACCCTGTCTCTAACACGGAGGAAGGTGAGGTCTGAAACCTGAATTCTCCTCTGAGTTCTACATGTGCACTGTGGCATACATGTACCAACACATCACACATACACACACACACACACACACACCCACACTCCCACACACATGAACACCTCTCTCTCTCTCTCTCTCTCTCTCAGTCACTCGCACACACACACAAGAAATTTGGAAATCTGAGGCTACCGGGCTGGGATTAAAATCCAAATATTTCCCTCTGAGACCAGTGGTTTCTCATCAAACACACCTCAACAAATTTTCTCAAGGTGCCAAAGCAAGGCCAGCATGATGGCTGAGCAGGTAAAGGCACTTGCAACCAGGCCTGATGACCTGAGTCCAGTCCCCAGGACTCAGTGGAAGGAGAGGGCCAACGCCTGCAAGTTCTTCTTGACTGCCACTTGGCATGTTGTGACACAAGTGCACCCTCACACAAATAATACAAATATGGACATGAATAAATGAACGTGATACAATTTAAAATACATCAGCCACTGGTGGCCCTTCTTAGTGGTGCTGTGGACCAAACCAGGGTCTCCACACACACAACTGGCCAATGCTCTCCCACTGAGTTTCATCCCATGTGATACTTATTGAAATGAGCATCCCTCGGCTCTTCTCTAGACCTCCTGGTTCAGAACCCTGGCAGGCTGAGCCCAGAAATCTACAACATGAACACGCAGTAGACTCAGAGACTCACCATGCTGCCTACTTTGTGAAGAGGATAGAATAGATGCATCTCTCTGTATCCATGAGAGACTGCCTCAGAAGCACTTGTGGATACCTACTATGATGATGCTTCCTTCTTCAATAAAATATGTGTTTTATTTTTAATTGTGTGTGTGTGTGTGTGTGTGTGTGTGTGTGTGTGTGTGTGTGTGTGTGTGTAGGAGGATCTGTACACATGAGTGTGTGTGCCCAAGTAGTCCAGGAAGGGATATTGGATTCCATGGATCTGGAGTTTCAAGTGGCTGTAATCCACCCAACCTGGGTGCCGGGAACTAAACTCATCTGGGGAAGCAGCGGGTGTTCTTAACTGCTGAGCCTTCTTCCCAGTCCCAGAGGACGCTTATTTATACAAAATGGTGTGAATTATCTTGTGGAGCACATCCCCTCCCATATGCTTTAAATTACTTCTGTATTACTTATTACAGCTAATGCAATGTAAATGCAATGCAAATAGCTGCTATACCATATTGTCTAGGGAATAATGACAAGGGGAAAAAACGCCTGTGCACGTTGAATACAGACATAATTATATTTTCTGGATATATTTGATACATGGTTGGTTGAACCTCTGAATGCAGAACCCACAGATACAGAAACCCAACTGTCATCTCTTGAGATTCTATTCCATAGGGGAAATGATACTACTTAAGAGTTTTTAAAATGTGCTTATTTGTTTTGTGTCTGTGCACTCTGTGTGTGTGTGTGTGTGTGTGTGTGTGTGTGTGTGTGTGTGTATGTGTGTGTGTGTGTAGGGGCAAGTGTACATGCCATGGAGAACATATGAAGGGCAGAGGACAACCTGTGGGGTTC